TGAGTGTGGGGATATAGATGAGGGTGAGTGTGGGGATATAGATGAAGGTGAGTGTGGGATATAGACGAGTGTGAGTGTGGGGATATAGAGGAGGGTGAGTGTGGGGATATAAAGGAGGGTGAGTGTGGGGATATAGAGGAGTGTGAGTGTGGGGATATAGATGAGTGTGAGTGTGGGATATAGAGGAGTGTGAGTGTGGGGATATAGATGTGTTGTGAGTGGGGATTAGATGAGGTCGTGTGCAAGGATACAGGTGTATTGTGTCTGGGGGTATAGGTGAGGGTATTCATGGGGTTGTTGATAAGGGTGTGTGTGCATGGATATATATGAGGGTGTGTGCGGGGATACATATGAGGTTGTGCGCAGTCATATATATGAGGGTGAGTGTGGGGATATATATGAGGGTGAGTGTGGGTGCATTCAAGACTCACAGAGCCTTGATGCAGGAGTATATGTGGAGACTGCTTTGTCTGGCTTGTATTTCTCCAAAACAGAAGTTGCTCCCTATAAGACCAACTCTTTTACTTCTTGGACACAGCCTTTTCCAAGAGCCTAGGCTTTGGTGCTTTCAGGGGTTCTGCGTCCACGGGTCCCCCAGCTACTTCAAAGACCTGCTAAGAAGGTCAGTTGACTAGATCCCAGAGTTGTAACAGGACAAGCTGCAGCTCCAAGCTGTGGACCTCTCCTTGCTGTGTGATTGCTTTCTGAGCATGTGTTTCTCTTGCAGAATGAAAACCCAGCCAGGACAGCAAGAGGAGAGCAATAAATTACCAAATGTGAGTAAACCAGGAAGAGGGCACCGGGACCGCACCTACTGGGCACTTATAGCGTGCAAGCATGGGCTTTTTCGCACACTTACCTAGTGGAATCTTTGCCATGGTCCTAGGAGGAGGTGCTGTTATTGCACCTTATGTGTTGCTGGCAAGTAGAGGAACCCCCGTTTAACTCAGCCAACCCCCAAAGTGAGCATTTACCTGCCATTCTTTCCTGTTTTGTGCAGGGTGCAGAAAATGTCCCAGGAAACAGGGGCAGCTAGTCTAGGACAGAATATAACTCATGCCCAGGTTCAGAGAACACACTGCCACACTTGGGAAGCACTAACCAATGCTGACAGAACAACTGAAGGTTGTAAGGGCAGGAGAGCACTGGAAAAAGAGATAAGACCAAATCTAGGGGACTGCATCCTGTCTCGGTGTTATGGCCCTGTCCAGGTTTCTGACTTGGCATCTTGGGGGAAAAGGAAGGAAACAGAATTTATTTTTTCCCTCCCAATGGTGCTAGTCATTTTCTTATAAATTATCTTGCTTTTGCCCACAAAGCCGTTTGAGAAGTGTTATCATCCCCATTTTCTGATGGGGAAACTGAGGCACAGAGATGTTGAAATAGCTACTGCTGTCAGAGGCAAGATGCAAACTCGGGCCCCTTTGGTTCCCAGACCCACACAGTTACCACAATGTCCAGCTGCCTCCTACCTCTGGATACAATGGAAAACTTGGAGTAGGCACAGGACATGGAATGTGGAGTGGAGTGTAGAGAGGTTGTTTTGGCATGGTTGTTCTTCAGTGACTTATAGCGATGTCAGGAGCCAGTTGAGGGTGAATGGGGACTCGGGAGGGCACAGAAGGGTCTAGGATCTGGAAGCCCATCACCTGTCTCTGTTTTTAAGACATGAATAAGCAACAGAATGAGATTTAGAGGAATCTCGACACTCCCGGACTGAATTAAAATTTTATTTTATTTTTTACCTTACTTTATCTCAAGTTCATTTCTACATTCAATCACGTTATTTAGCTTGCAAGTGAATATTGCAACATATCCACATTTCTCCCCAGTCTAGTTGATAATACTAAAATACTATTTTCAATAGATAATGCCCCATTTCTTTGTCCCATTAATGCTACTCCTCTCTATTTTTCTCCTTAATGCCCTTCCTCAGACTCTACTCCTTTATCCACCCTCTTCCCAAACTATATCTGATATTCACAACCATTTACTGTGTTTCTATATCCTTTAGTCATTCAGTTTCCATCACAGAGTGTGGACACTCAGTATATACTAAGTGGAGACATACAATGTTTCTCCTTCATAGCCTGGCTTGCTTCACTCAGCAGTTAATCTTCCATATTCATCCATTTTCAGTCAAAAGCCAAAGTCTTGTTGTTTTTTATGGCTGAGTAATATTCCATAGAGTATATGTGCCACAGTTTTTCAATCCATTCATCTGTTCATGGGCATTTGGGTTGGTTTGATGTCTTAGCAATTGTGAATAAGCCACAATAAACATTGATGTGCAAGCACTTTTTCAATGAAGAATTCTTCTGTCCTTTGGGTAGATACCAAGGAGTGGAATTGCTGGATCATATGGTAGTTCTATTTGTAGATTTTTGAGAAATCTCCAAATTGTGCTCCACAGTGGCTGGACCAATTTGCATTCCCACCAGCAGTGTAAGAGAGTTCCCCTTTCACCACATCCCTGCCAGCACTTATCATTTTTTGTTTTTTTAATCTTAGTCATTCTGACTGGGGTTAGGTGGTATCTCATTGTTGTTTTGATCTGCATTTCCCTTACAATGAGGGATACCGAGCATTTTTTCTTATGTCTTTTGGCTATTCATTTGTCATCCTTAGAAAATGGTTTTTTCTACTCATTCTCCCATTTTTTAATAGGGTTGATCATCTTTTTTGGGGTCAGCTGCTTGAGTTCCTTGTGTATTCTGGTTAACAGTCCCTTATCTGATGCATAATTTACAAAAATATTTTCCCATTCTGAGGGCTGTCAATTCAGACTAATTCCTGTGTCTTTTGCCATGCAAAAACTTTTTAGACTAATGTAATCCCACTTGTCTATTTTTGGGATTATTGACTGTGCTTTGGGGGTATTATTTAAGAAGTCTTTGCCTACCCCAGTGTCTCCCAAGTTTTCCCATTTTTATCCTGCCTTCTGTCTTGGTGCCTAGGAAGTGATCAACGTGTCACCTGGCTATAAGCTCATTCGGAATCGGGAGCAGATATCCGTCACCCTGGGAGAGGAAATGTTTGGTGACAAAAAGCAGTTGGAATCAAAGATAAAAGACAAAGTTAAAATGTCCAGGTAATGTCTCTGGGGCAATATCCAGCTCCTCAGAGCTTGCTCCACCTGGCGCACCTGGCCTAGAGGGTGTGTCCCTGACCTCTATGCCAGGCCACAGGCCCCACTCTGAGGTTCTGCAAGGTTACCTCCCTTCTCACCCATCTCTCAGTGCTGCTCCTCTCCACGCCCACCTGTCTTTACGCTGATCCCATCTGTGAGTGGATTCAAGGGGTAAGGTTGACAGCTGACCTAGGAAATGACTGGAAGGAACCTGCTGAAGGAGAGCAGTTCTTTCTGGGGAGACAGATGAAATACTCAGAATACAGTCTGAATTTGGGGTGTGCAAATTGAAGTGAAGTCAGTGTGCTAGCTCTTGGGTGCAGCAGTAACATGCTGCTCAAGAGAAGTTGGAGCCACATGAAAGATTATGATTCGACCCACACATCCCATTTTTTAATAGGTTCATGCAGGTGCCCAAGACCCTGGTACCTGGGAAGGCTGGGACGGGGGCAGGAATCACAGCATGAGACCTGACTGTTAAGGGTACTTGTCCTTCTCTCTCTCTCTGTCTCTCTCCTTACTCTCATGAAAGGAAGAAATAATAATGAAAGAGTAAAGTTAGGGTTTCTGGGAAGCTGGAATACGCTTTGGTTTTGTTTTTGCTATAGTGTGTGTGCTTTCACCAGAGAAAGAGAGAAAGGGAAGAAAAGTGAAAAAAGTGAGGAAGCACCCTTTGGGGGGATGTCACAGTGTAATCTCTTCTTCTTCATGCACGCACAGGCACCTAGTGTGTTTCCCAAGCTACTGAGTCAGGACTTGAACCACACAATTGGCCATGTGGGGTCCAGCTATCCCAATCACTACACCACTGACTGGCTCTGCATCTCTTTTTTTATTATGCCCCCAAATACCACATCAATCCAGTGCCTTTGGGAAGTGCACTGTGGGTGGTTCTGCCCAGGTCCATCCCACTAGGCACACAGCCACTCTTTGTCATTCAGCCCCACACACCCAATCCTCCAAGCCATTCCAAGTAATTCTCTATGTATTTATTTATTTATTTTCGTGAGAGAGATTTTTGCTATAGGGTGCGTGTGCTTGCCAGAGAGACAGAAAGTGAGAAATTACCCCTGGGGGATGGCCATTCCTCAATCCCTTCTCCTCCATTCTCCTCTCAGGACCTTGGGCACACACATACATGTGCCTGGCATGTTTGAAGCCGGGTCCAGGACTTAAACTGTAGTTGGCTACTTGGGAGACAAGCAATGTAACCATTATACCATCTGTTGGGCCTTCCATGTCTTTATTTATTTATTTATTTATTTTTGAGAGAGAAAGTTTTGCTAGGACACATGTGCTCATGAGAGAGACAGGAAGACAGAAAGCAAGAAATCACGCCCTGTGGGGCATGGCCACACCACAATCCCTTCTCCTTATTCTCCTCTCAGGACTTTGGGTACATAAACACACACACCTGGCGTGAGTTTTAAGCCATTGGGTGTGGAACTCAAACCGTGGTTGAGTATATGTGGGAGTCTAGTGATGTAACCACTAGTTCATCTGCTAGTCCCTGTCTCCTAAATATCTCATTCATATTTTCTTGTTACCTGTCTTCTACCTAAGTTCAGGCATCTTTCTTCCTACCTGCACTCTGGAATGACTCTTCCATTGTCTCTTCCTTTAGGTGTTAGTTTGCTGAGAGAATTATTTTTCCAAGACAGAAATATAAAAGACCACCAACAACAGAAAATGCACCTAACCCCCATCTCCTACCTATTGGCTAGTGTATAGAAAGAGTACAACCAAAGTGTTAGCAGTGGCTACCTCTCTGAAGGTGCTCAGATTGGGGCTGAGGTTAAAGCAACTGCAAGTCAAAGGAGGCCGTGCCGTGGAGCCTCTCTGATCTCCCTGGCCCAGAGAAGCCAGACCCAAATCCCTGTCTTCCCACACCATGAGGGCATTTGCTGGTTTTCTTTCCCCTGTTCAACCACAACCCTCTATAGGACATTACCCATAGTTAAACTGTCACCTGTAGGCACCTCTTAGCTTCTTAAGAAATTTGCACCAGTTCTGGCAAAATAAAACAAAATGAGGTCAGTCAGTGGCATGGAGGCTGGAGCGGCTGAATCCCACATGACTTACTGTAGGTTTGAGTCCTTGGGCTGATGGCTTGAGAAACATGCCAGGCATGTGTACGTATGTGCTCAAAATCTCAAGAAGAGAATGGAAGAAAAGGGATTGCAGTATGGCCATTCCCCTTGGGGTCCTGGGGGGTTCTTACTCTTACTCTTTCGTACATGCACATTCACACAATGGCAAAGTTTAAAAAATAAAACATGGTGGCTCTTACTTGCTTTATTCCCTGGTGTAGCTGTGAGTATTATCTATATTGAAGACCATGTGCAAGAAGAGGTTCCCCTAGATTCAACTTCCTCACATCCTTTTTTTGGTCTGAAACCCTGGCTCTCTCTCCGCCCATGTCCTCTCCCGTTTATTCACCTCACATTCTTTCTGTGCTCGGTTGGACATAAGACTGATTGGCTAAATGCTTCTTGAATTAACAGCGTCCTCTCGGCTCCACTTCACAAGGAGCTCCTGCAGCCTTGTCCACTCTGGCATAACGGACTAGAGCTGAATAATCTACAGATATGCTGCAGACCCGGAAACACATAGTCTTTTCTGAAAGCCACTCTCTTAAATCTCCCTCTTGGTCCCATTTCTGGCCTTTATCTACATTCACTGTCAGTATCAATCCTAGTCACTACTTAGTCCTCTGGATGTATCCCTCCTCCATTTCAACTACCATCACCAAGTCAAGGTCACACCTCAACAAATGCCTGACATATTTCTATTTCCCCTCTCAGTAGAACACCAAATCATCTTGCTCATCATTCTGGCTGGCTTACTCAAAAGGCCAGATCTGAGATTCAGCCAGCTTGCTACCAAATGCCTTCTCCAAGACCACCCCTTTATCCCTCAGCCCCACCCACAACAGTGAGCAGGTGTGGACTGTAGCTGGGCTCTCTCCCCAGGCCAGCGTCAGTCCCTCTCAGGGGCATGGAATGGTAAGCTCTGGCATTCTCATCCCACAGGACCAACATCATTTCTGACCTAGAAGAGCAGATCTCAGAGCTGACAGCAATAATAGAACAAATGAACAGGGACCACCAGTCTGCCCAAAAGTTGGTGAGTGATCTCAGCGTTAGCTAACACCTTCATGGCTAGGGTGAGACTAATATTTTCAGAACACTCGTGTGCCGGGCAAGATGCCAAGTATGTCACTCATGTGAGCCACATTGTCCAGGCAACGGGACTCTGAAGCTGGGACCTTGCCGCTCAGTCGTAATTCTCTGACTCTGTTCTCAACCAGGTGCCTCGAGTGGGTGCATGACGCTGTCTGTCCCCTTTACACAGGTGGGGGGGTCACTTCTTATCTAGCCTTTGTGGCAAGTTAAACCTCAGTCGTGTCACCAATGGCACCAATACTGAATCCTCCTAAGCTTCCTGGAGGCCTCTGGTGCTCACTTACAGTTACCATTAAAGCTGCCAATGCCCACACTTTAGAATGTGCTAATGGCATTCTGTACTAGTTGTGCTTCCTGTGGATTTTAATCACCCTTCTTTAGATTATACCATCTGTTTCATCACAGTGACTTCTTCCCCATTTCAAGCCAGTGTGCCTGGTGGCCTGGGCTAGCGTGACAAACTAGAACTGGCATGGAATGGTAGGCTCTGGATGATGGACTCTCTCTAGTATTCTTAAAACCCACTTGTAAGGATGGAACTTTCCAGCAGGTGGCTTCTTACCCTCTGGTATATCCTGGGCCTGTCTGAATCTTACAGTGACTCAACGCATGACTCAGGCTGACACCTTGCCCAGCATTGATTCAATATTTATCTGAAAACCTTGCCAGGTTTATGGTCTCCTTCCATAAAATGGAAATTAAGGCTCCGGGAAGTTGAATAATTTCCATAAGATCACCTGGCTCAACAATAATGGGTAATTAGGCAAAATGAGCATTTTGATCTACAAGTACAGGCCCTGGTAAAATCATATTTAGAAATGATTTCCCCAATGGAGCCCTAGGTTGTGATCTCGACTCCCCAGTATGTGGCATGACCCTGTGAAATGGAGAGGTTCTGGCCTACTCAGTGCTGGTCTCCATCAGAATGGCTGGGGCTGCCCACGGCTGTCAGTCCTGGCACCTCCGCAGCAGTCAGAGAGGAATAGGGGCCAGCTCTGGACCCTTGTTCTAGCAGACAGTGGGCACTAACTGACT